CAGTCCCATCTGATCTGACTTGTTTTTTAAGATTTAAGTTCTTGCACCTGGGCCTCCTAACATCTGCGGGGAAGTGAATCCTGCTTTGAGGTCGCTTCCTTCAGCACACATTTTGCCCTTGTCATTGAGACTCCACGTCCTCTCCCACCCTGGCCAGCATCCCCTTCCCCCCTCTGTGGCTGCAGCTCACTCAGCTGTGCGAGCCCTGCCCCCTCTGTGCACACTCGATCTAGAGCACTCTGGGACTGCTGGGCAGCTGCCCACATGCCAGCCGTGAGGTTGGCCAGCCGTTCTTGTTCAGGAAAACGGAAAAGATGCCATTGGACTATGCCCATCCATCTATGGTATCCTATAATAGTGCAACCACCCTAGCAAAGACAGAGATTCCTTAGCCTGGTACAAATGTAGACCACGGTCTTTTTGCTGCGCGGGTGAAAGATTTTCCTCTGGATGGCTCCCGCCAGGTGCCTGGTGAAAGGGGTCAACTTGGGCCCAGGCCATTCTCAAGGCCACTGAAAGGGCAAGCTAAAAGCGTTGGCTTCTTACCAAGATGGAGATTTTCTTGAAAGAAGGGCATTTCTTTCAAGAAGGGCATGAGACATGTATGTTCTCCAGATTATCAGCGCTGGGCTTCTCAGCAGTAGTTGGCTGCATTTTTGTTCCAGTGTCTTCCAAAGGAATTGAGTTTTCCCTCTTGCTTTTGACTCCTCCTGTCCCTCAAGGAAGCCATTAAGCTGGAGTGTGTCAGTGGCGGAATGATCCATTAAATTCAAGGGCGAAAACATCACACCATTCAACCCCGCTCACTTACAGCAGAAATCTTTAAAATAGAGCATGAGAGTCTTTATCTCAAATTCTGACCCAATGGGTCATTTTGCTCCTAGTGTTACATAGTGGTTACTAGAATAGAGTGCAGATTTAGAATTCTTGTGGGAAACTTGCTTTTCTCAGGATACCCCTCAGGTAAATGTTCTTTGATAATAAATGACAGGGAGTAAGATAGATCCAAGACTCTTGGGGTTGCAAAATTTCTATCACACCCTCAAAAGGAGGCATTGACTGTTGTGTAAATTCCTCCCCACCTAATTTCCAGATAATGCTGTCAAAGTATTCTGGCAACTTTCTGTGTAAACCCCAACAGCAGGAAGTCTCTACCAACCAGACTGCTTGCGGGGGTTGGAATGGTCGGACTCATTTTGTGCAGAGTAGCTTCGTGCAGCCTCACTGTTGGTTGAACAACCAGCTTTGGAGTCCTGGTCTGAATGTATGCGCTGGTATAATGTGTAGAAAATGCTGACAGATAAAACCACTTGGAGCACCTTTACTTCCAAGGAGACAGGATATTTCTTAAAATAAACCCAGGACAATAGTAATGTCTCATTTTCTCCTACCCTGGGAAGTAGAAAGGAACACCTAACCTGAGACATTTATGTTCTCCAGATTATCAGCGCTGGGCTTCTCAGCAGCAGTTGGCTGCATTTTTGTTCCAGCGTCTTCCAAAGGAATTGAGTTTTCCCTCTCCCTAGATAGCAAGCAATACTTAATAAGTAACCAAGGTAAAAAGTAATCTCCTGGAGGGGTCCAGCTGTGTCCACTCCACCCCACTGAGACATAAGCACTTCCCTCCAGCACTTCCCTGGGCTTGGTCAGGGGAAACAGGCCAAGAAGAAAGCAGGTCACTGCGTGCCTATTCAGGGGAAATGAGCTGCACCTCTGCACAGTTGTCTCACCAAAAAACCCCTTTTCACATTCTGTTGGAAAACTGTTATCTGTATCTAAGCTTACAATAATTTGATAACCTGCCCCTTCATTTTGAAGGGGGTGCAGAGGTCCCCCCAGCATAAGTTGCTTGGTTGTTTGAGTGGGCTTTCACCCGGCAGCAGTTATCTGTGCCAGTGGTGACACAGGTGCAGGTGTGCACATGGGCTTTGCATCTATGCACGTCCACGGGTGTCATTTGTCTTCTTATGCGATCAGCAGGCTCACATTCACCTTCTGTTCCACAGAGGCCCAAAACTATGTTACCGGAGTTTGTCTGGGCTCTGGTGTGCTCCTTGCCAAGAATCCGTGTGGCTCCTCTTGCGGCTTTGGTTCTGCCTAGGACAACAGCACATTTTTGAGAAAGGAGTGCAAACCAGGAAACAGCCCTCCTGGACAGCCCAGGACAGAAAAAGGCAGGGTGACCCGTCTCACCTTCTGGGCGTTTAGGTTATGTTACCCTGTGAAGCCTAGGAAAGAAAATACTGTGGAGTAGCATTGTCTTTGCCTTGCACTTGGCTTTTAGTGCTTTAAGGAGGGAATGTGCTTATTGTTGAGCAGAAACGACATCTGGGAGAGGATGGGGGCAGGCAGTCGCGGTCTGTGCAGCCCCCAGCCGCATTTCCCAGCCAGATCCCAAACAGTGCAAGTCATAAGGAGCTTTCACACCCTGTTTCTCTCCAAGGCTCCGTCTACTTAAAATACTTCCCTCCCTGCCAAAAGGGATATTGAAAAGTGACTTTGCAGCAATTTTCGCACATCTTCCCGCACAGGCTTTTCAGCCGAGGGCTATCTTGAAATGTTGCATTTTCCCTTTTAACTTAACTATCCAAGCAATTGTCTACTAAATGCTTTGTTGTGATTTACAATTTGACTTGAATAAATCTGGCTAATACCCCAAAAGGAAGAAAAGAAAAAGGCGTTTCCAGGAGAAATCACCCCTGAGAAGACTGGAGAGTGTTGGAGCCTTCTGCAGACCTTGGGGTCCCAGCAGTGTCAGGTCCTTGGTTCCTGCCCCCCGGTACCACTTGGAGGCTCTCTCTTAACTGCCCAGGAAGCCCCGGGGATCCCTGCCTTGCTGAGACACCTCAGAACTGCTCTGGCACGAGAGCTTGCAGAAGCAGTCCCGTGCGTTGCTGAAAACAACCTGGGAAGCTGTCTGTCTCTCTGCTTGCTCTTTTGTCAGCTCCAGAGGCCCTTTCCTGCTCTTCTCCAACTCTGCGATCTGATGTTCCTGCTCCACCACTGTTCCACAAGCAGCGCTCCCTCCTCATTTCCTCCCTACTTTTGCCCCACCTGCTCTACCATGATATAATTTCCTTCCTACCTGTGATGCCACCGGAACCCCAGAGGACTGGGCCTGCAGAGTCCGTGACCTGTTTGACACTTGGCTCTCTGAGCTGTTTTCCCCATCTGTGTAACAAAGGGATAAGATCAGATGATTTTTATTCCCCATTCTAGCTCTAAATTTTGAGTCTTGAGATTTTTCTCTTCCTTTGGCCCTTCAGATAAAACAGAGCAGGCACCACCCCCAGCTGCTGAAGGACCTGGAGCTGGTCAGTGATGTGGCCGTTGCCCAGGGGCCCTGAGCTGCAGCCTGGGGAGGCCCTGCTGCACTGCACCCGCCCAGCAGCTGAGGGTGCAAAGGCGTAGGCAGGCAGGGAAGCATTCAGGTGGCTAGGCTCGGATTTTTCTAGACTTGCCATCTCAAGTGACTTAATTGCAGCTGAGTTAGGTCAGCAAATACCAACAGATGATGATCAACATGAATAAAATGGTGACTTTTTGTGTGTACCTTAGTAGCCAAAAGTCATGACGATAGCTTATCTGTGCACATGCTGCTGTTTTTAGATTTTTAAAATAAACTCTGTTTTAGGATAGTGTTAGGTTTACAGACGAATTGCGAAGCGTACAGAGCTTGCATGCGCCCCTCACCGTTTCCTGTAGTAATGTGTGCCTTACTCTGGTGGGTACATTGGTTACAATCAGTGTTGATGTGCTATTGCTAACTGTCATCCATATTTGATTCAGGACCCCGCATTGCATTTACTCCTCACATCTCCTTAGCTCCTCTAGGATCTGACATTTCTCAGACTTTCTGAGTTTTTAAGGACCGTGACAGAACCAGTCAGGTATTTTGTAGAATGGGATGTGCCTGATGATTTTCCCATGGTTAGCCTGGGGCCGTGTGTTTTGGGGCAAAGACCAAGGAGGTGAAGTGCCCGTCACATCACATGCCCACATGTCTGTCACTGCTATTGGCCTCAGGCACTTGCCGCAGGCGTTGGCTCTCGAGTTTCCCCACTGAAGAGTTTATATATCCTCCCACCTCCTCCCTTCCATCCTGGACTCTGTGCAAGGAAGTCTCTTCCCTTCAGGTGTGGGGAGCAGAGCTCCCCCTTTCTGAGGGTGGCTGCTGGTCTGTCCTTGCTGAGGGCCCTGTTGCATCTGGCCGGGCAAGGTGGGCCTGTAGGTGGGAGGAAAGCAATTCTCAGAGCCATCCCACAAGGCATAAGGTGTCGTGGACCGTCACGGGGCATGCTCCATGTGACAGTGGGATGAATGAATACGTGTCCTCTTGTGATAAGTGCTCAGGAGCATATCAGACATGCATATCTATCATGTACCATAGAACGCATTGGGCTGATATTCCAGCCCAGAGGAAAAGTGCTTCCTGGAGGAGTAACAGTGATGAAAAGCCCTCACTTGTAAAAACTCAACAGTTTTCTGCTTAGACCTATCTCTTTGTTACCTTAAAAGTGGAGGCAACATGCTCCTTACCCTCGGGATCCTAGAAAAATCTACCAAAAAGAAACAAAAAAAGGCATTGTTATTGCTATTCAGGGTCTGTGAGTTTTAATAATTTAATAATGAAATTAAGATGTGGTTTGATTTGCCTTCTATTACAGCATACTTGAAATAACACCTTGTTTTTCCTGGTGTATCGCCTGATGACTGAGTGTAGAAACACTGTCATTAATGCATGTTTCCTCTACACGTCATTTTCACCCATGGAAGAGTCTCCATTAAGAGGAGCTGAAATAACTGCGGAAGCTCAGAGACCGCAAAGTGAAGTCTGCGTGCTCCTGACAATCGACGGTGGGATTCTGCGAATGAAATCATTTTAGCAGGAAATGATTATGAAGGACCTGATCACTGTGTGTGCTTCGGTAATGCGATAAGATGAGAGTAATGAGTGAAATGAGGAGCAGTCAGGAAACGTCTTTGTTCTTTTTCAACAGATCTGAACAGCAACATGGGGTGCAAAGTCCTGCTCAACATTGGCCAGCAGATGCTGCGGCGGAAGGTGGTGGACTGTAGCCGGGAGGAGACACGGCTGTCTCGCTGCTTGAACACTTTTGACCTGGTGGCCCTTGGGGTGGGCAGCACGCTGGGTGCCGGCGTCTACGTCCTGGCTGGAGCGGTGGCCCGTGAGAATGCGGGCCCTGCCATTGTCATCTCCTTCCTGATCGCTGCACTGGCCTCGGTGCTGGCCGGCCTATGCTATGGGGAGTTTGGTGCTCGGGTCCCCAAGACAGGGTCAGCTTACCTCTACAGCTATGTCACCGTTGGGGAGCTCTGGGCCTTTATCACCGGCTGGAACTTAATCCTCTCCTACATCATCGGTAGGTCCCAAGGAGCCTGGAGCTTGTGCTCTCTGCCACTTTTCTGTTGGCTCCCAGCTCTGAATCATTTAAAAGTATTTAGTTTATTTTAGTATGTTTTTTGATTACTAGAGCAAATGCATCACTGATAGAGAAAAATTGGGGAAATAAAAGCACAAAGAAGAAAGTAGAAATACCCTGCCTGGCAACCTGGAGAAACTAATTCTCTTATTCCTTCCTTCGTTCCTTCATTCTTTCTTTTAATAAATGTTTATTGAGTACCAGCTCTGTGCTGGGCATTGTGCTAGATACTAGGGAATCCCATGAAGGCATAAGACACTCTCTTATGTTCCCATGAAGGCATAAGGCAGCCTCTGTTCAGGAGTTTACCATCTACCGATATAACTATTATTAACATTTTTTGTGAATTTAAATGTGTGTTTTTGTACAACCTATCTCTTTATAAAACAATGTATAGGAAACATTTCTCATATCGTTAGCTGTTTTTCCATAGTAATACTTGTAATGCTTGCCTACCATCATGTAGATTTATACACACAGCGTAACGTATAGGCTGTCTTTATGGGACGTTCAGATTGTTTCCATGACATCTTGCTGTTGTTATACACAGTTAATTACTTTATGTCTTGGGGCTTAGCCATGATTCTTTTCCTTAAAACTGTCTAAGGAGCAGAATGGCTCTCGGTGAGTCTGCGTGTTTTTAAGGCCTTTGTTGAGTGTGATCCTCACGTAGCCAGGGCCCCTTTCCCTGCAGTGTGGGCACAGGGCTTCGGCCTGTAACACAACCACCTAGCAAATAAAGAAGCAGACATAGAAAATCTTTCCAGTTTTCCAGGTAAACATGCTTTGCTTCTCTTTATGCCTTTTTTTTTTTTTTTTTGTATTTTGATTACAACTGAAATTGAACACATCCGCTTAAAAGGAACAAACACCTAAGTCTCAGAAGCAGCAAAGGGTACCAATGGCCACTCGACATGCCATTTATTTTTTTCCTCAAACTTTTTGGTAATAGCGAAAAATAGTAAGACTTGGTAAGTTGAGCCATGTAGGTCCCACCTTGCTTCTGTATCAGCTCCCACTGGGCCCTACCCCACCCTCTCTGCCACACATGCTGCCTGCCAGGACCCTCACTGCCCTGGGCTCCCTACAGCACTATCTCTGCATGGGGGGGCACCACTGCCCCTTCATCAGGACAGCTGGTGGAGGGCACACACTCATGCTCTCTGAGCAGCACCTTCTCTTTCTTTCCAGCAGCTGCAGTATCTGCTGAGAGCCAACATAGCTTACTTTTCTGAATTCTAAAATGAAATTCATAATGTTTTCTTTCAGTGCCACATCAAAACTTACAACCACACATGGTTCTCACAAGCTGAAGTCTCTCAGTGGGAATGTAGCTATTGCAAATGGACCGTCATGTTTCCAGAGGATTTACTTGAGCATAAAATACACATTGAGCATGAAGTGCTTGCAGCATCTAGACCAGCAAATGAAAGGCTCTGTCAGAGTGCCGTTGGCTTGTGTGAGGCCACTTGCATGCATTCTGAAAATTTCTTTGCAGCCTTAGCTGCTGGGAAGGGCAGTTTTTCCAGCAAACATTTTTTTTTGTTAAAGGCGTGATTTAGAAATTGGAAGGGGGTAGGCTGGGAAGAAAGGCTGGGTAGACCCTCTCATCCAGCAGGACAGGGTTTGGGTGCCAGATTTGCTGTGAGCCGGCCGCTCTGGGGGTGACAGGGAGATGGTGAGACCATTTTTATAGAATTCATATTAGACTGGCTGCTCGGGAGAAAGAAATGTGGTTAAACTTCTGATCGTTGCAAAGATACTTACCATAAGACCAAATAGTGAAATTGAATCTCTGCAGATCACTCTGGCAAAATGCTGTGGATAATTAGGACCATGGTCACCAACAGGGCCCCCTTTGAAAATAAAGGAAAGTGCTCTCTGCATATACTGGAATTTTAGTGCCATTTCCTGAGAAACATCACTGGAAGCACGCTCTGACTGTCTTCAGAATTAAAGAGAGTGAAAGAGAGCAGCCAACTCTTCTTGGTGTTTCGGGTGCTGCCCTGCTGGCGTTCTTCAGCGCTGGAGGGCGTAGGCTGCGGGGAGAATGAGGAGGGCTGGGCTCTGTCTGTGCTCCTGCACTCTGGGGACGCCGTGGCCTCCAAGTCAGGTTCATGCACAAAGTGGCAGAGGTGGCTGATGCCTGCTCTGAGGTGAGCAAGTGGCTTTGTCCCTGAGATGGGGTTCAGCCCCTTTAAGGACCTCCTAGGACCGTTCTTCTTGCTGGGAGAACAATGTTTTGGGGGTGCAGGTACCATCACCTCTGCTACCAAGGGGCTCCTAGAAAACAGGCTTCCTAAGCAGTGTTTGCCCAGACTGCCAGTTGTACCCCAGGAGTGCATTATGAAGTCAATTTTTCATGTGTTGTCATCAGTATTTAGTTTTTTAGATGAAAATAGGTACCATTAAATACTGTCAGAGTGCCTCTCAGATGGTAAGGGCAACACTCGTTTTGCAAACTTTTATTCAGATGTATATATTTGATAGACACCTGTGCATATTGGGTAGGATGTGAAATGCATTCCCCTGCAGGCCCTAGAAGCCTTCTCGCACTTGGCACTGGTCACCCATCACTTCTGGCTCAGCGTGCACTGTGGTCTGGCTGCTGCCGTGAGGTTCCGGTGCGCCGCCTGTGACTCCTGCAAGGATGCTGTCAGCCTGGAGCTCCACTACAAATACCTTGCTAACCGTTGTCCTCCCATCCCCTCTGTTGTGTGTGCTTTGTGGCAGGTACTTCAAGCGTAGCGAGGGCCTGGAGCGCCACCTTCGACGAGCTGATCGGGAGACCCATCGGGAAGTTCTCGCGGACACACATGGCTCTGAACGCCCCCGGTGTGCTGGCCGAAAACCCTGACATATTCGCCGTGATCATAATTCTCATCTTGACAGGTAAAGCCCACGCCGAGAAAGAGATGAGGTCAGAGAGTTGGGCAGAGGTTTGGTGAGAGGCTCCCGTTAAGCTCCTTTCTTTTCTCGTCTCTTTAACCATAACCCCCATCTCTTTTTGTTCTGTTTTTGTGCTTCATGCAGGCATCATATGTGTCCCTGTCTTCATGGCTTCTTATAGATTCATACAGGGCTGGCCTGCTTCATAGCTGTTGAGTTGTGTGCTGACTCATTAAAAGAGAATCTTAGGTGTTTAGCCTAGCCGTTTGTGGAGTAAGATTTTGTCAGCACTGGGCAGGCTTTTTATGTGAGTATCCTGGGAATAAAAATTCTTTTGACTCAGTGGATGACCATTTGGAAAGCAAAGCTGTCATTCATCCGCCAGGAAAATGTGGAGGAATGAGCCCTGTCTGGAACACGAATGTGTGCCTGGGGCGTCTGAAGACCACTTGGATGGTTTTTACACCTAACAACCATCAAAACACCCTTTCAATACATAAGTTTCACGACAGAGTTGTGGTTACAGAATTTGAAAAATCCCAGAGACTGCCCAAACACAGCCGATGGCAACTTCTTGCTAGTGACATTTGTGCGTGTCTTGGCCAGTGGGATGCGAGTTTTGCTCTGTGGGACTCCGTAAACATGAAGCTGAAATGCAGATAAATTCTCATTTGGGGTTAGAAAATCTTGGATGAGTTTTAAAAACGACATGCCGTATTTTACACACCACATAACTGAAATAACTTCACTCAGGCTGGTCTCAGCAGTATTTCGAGTCCAGCTGGCAGAATCATGCATCAGAAAGTAAGTCTGCACTCGTGAGATTTCATTTTAATAAACCTGAGAGGGAGGGACACTAAAGAAAAAAATATGTTGGTGCATGTCGAGGTGTTCTCCCTGTGATTAATTATACAATTATCTTCTACATCTGTACTTTAGAATTCAATCTCATAGGTACAGCAATTTTTATTTTATTTTATTATATATTTTATTTTATTTTGAGACACAGAGTCTTGTTCTGTCACCCAGGCTGGAGTGCAGTGGCGTGATCTCAGCTCACTGCAACCTCTGCCTCCTGGGTTCAAGCGGTTTTCACGCCTCAGCCTCCCGAGTAGCTGGGATTACAGGCACATACCACCACACCCAGTTAATTTTTTATATTTTTAGTAGAGATAAGGTTTCACCATGTAGGCCAGGCTGGCCTTGAACTCCTGACCTCAAATGATCTGCCTGCCTCAGCCTCCCAAAGTGGTGGGGTTAGAGGTATGAGCCACTGTACCCAGCCAGTTTTTATTTTAAAACTATGAGAGGCGTCCATAGTAGAGCAGTGGTCTCAAATTCTGGCTGTGTTCGAGTGGTACTGGCCCCTTCGGTGCCACTTTTCTTGCCCAGCGGAGAGTTCAGCTATGGAAGTACCTCTTTCAGCTATGAATGGCCTCTTCACTCTAAGGTGATGCTGGGGCATACACCTCAAAGGCAGTGCTGCCAGAGGTTCCTGGGCATCTTTATTACTTACTTTTCTTAAAAAAAAAAAAAGTGAGCGTGCAAGCTAGAGCTAGTCTAGCTCAGATGTTATTTTACGCGCACTGAGTCCAGTGAAGAACCATGTATGTTAGCGGTTCCAGGACCTCAGCCAGCTGTTACTGTCGATATCACCAACATCCCAAAGTCAATCAGAACAATTTCCTCATCTGCAAAATGCCCATTCTCCCAGGAAACTGAGCAAAGTGTTTCCTCCTGGATTTGCTCCTGGAGATTGCTTCCCAGCAACACATCCTTTTAGTGAGAGGGAGCAGCTTGGTGTGTGGGTCCAGACCTTCTTCTCCCTATGAGAGGGGCTCATGCTCCAGATCTCTGCAGTCCTCTGGTGCCTCTTGTGTGGGTGTCTCAGTTCCCAAGGCCACTTAGGAAACCCTGGGAAGCACCCCACAACCTCAGTGATTGAGACCCCTGCTCCTTGCCCCTAGAAAGATCATTAATCCACCCCATTCCCAGAAGCTCACAGAGGTCTGCAGAGGCTCGATGCACTTGGATTCTTTTTTAGTCGCCTTCTCATCCCTATCCAGGAAGGACCTCCTAGTTCGTGGTTAACACTCAGACAAGGTTTTCTGTCTATCCGTTTTTTCAGGACTTTTAACTCTTGGTGTGAAGGAGTCGGCCATGGTCAACAAAATATTCACTTGTGTCAACGTCCTGGTCCTGGGCTTCATAATGGTATCGGGATTTGTGAAAGGATCAGTTAAAAACTGGCAGCTCACAGAGGAGGATTTTGGGAACACATCAGGCCGTCTCTGTTTGAACAAGTGAGTTGCTGCTTCTGACCATTTTTCTTATTTGATATTTAGTGACACAGACATGTATTGGGGGATGTAACTGGCCAGGAAGGCATGTGCCTTTAAAAAAACATTATTTGAGTATATTTTGTTAATTTTTTTTTTCTTTTGCAGCAAAGTAGCTAAGTGTGTTTTGTATGTTTCAAGTTTGTGTGAAGGTTTATTCCCCTGAAATGGAAAGACTATTTTATGACAAGAAAGATGGAGGAAAATAAGATCATCACCCTAATTCCAAATTGTATATATTTCAGGATTCTTGTCAGGTCTCATTAAATGATCCCTCTTTCCCCAGATTCTGTTTGATGGCCAAGTTCTGAATTTCATATTCAGAAAGGATTTTTCTCTGCAGTGCCATGGTGACCTAACTTTACATACCTTCAAATAACGTAGACAGAAGAGAAATATGTGGAACTTTTTTTGAAGGTTTTCAGAATGACCGAAGTGTCAGAATGTGAGCACGACTGTCTCTTTTCCAACATCTGACTTGTGCTGCTCCAGCCCTGACGATGGTGGCCCCTTCATCCTCATGCCTCTGATGTGGACACCCGGAGCTGAGGTGATAGCTCCCCCCTGGGCCATCTCAGGCCTCTCACCCAGCCCTCATTGACAAGCTCAGATTACCTAGGAAACAAAGCCAAACAGTCATAATGTATCTTTTTTCATCTTTTGTCAGATCTTCAGGTAATACTTTAGGTCCCAGGATGGAGAATGGGGAGTTGAATTTTGTGTGAGATTCTTCATTAAGACTGAAGGTTGAAATTGCTATGATAAAGAGACCCTCCCCATGGCATCCGCCCCCCACCTCCGCCCCAGGCAGAATGGGGTGGCTTTATTTTATTTTATTTTTTTGAGATGGAGTTTTGCTCTTGTTGCCCAGGCTGGAGTGCAATGGCGTGATCTCAGCTCACCGCAGTCTCCGCCTCCTGGCCTCCAGCAATTCTGCCTTAGCCTCCCAAGTAGCTGAAATTATAGGCATGCACCACCACTGCTGGCTAATTTTGTATTTTTAGTAGAGACGGGGTTTCTCCATATTGGTCATGCTGGTCTCAAATTCCCAAACTCAGGTGATCCATCCCCCTTGGCCTCCTAAAGTTCTGGGATTACAGGTGTGAGCCACTGTGCCCGGCCAATAGAGTGGCTTTAAAGAGATGTTTCCAGTCCTGAAATGAGCAGTCCAAGTTGGCTGGCCAGCTCTGCCACAGGCCTCTGGGGACCCACACATCTTCCGTCTTGCCCCGTCTTCCCCCAGGACGTTGTCCTCATTTGCCTGGTCAGAGCTGGCTGTAAGCACATTCATGGCCCAACTCTCCCAGGAGGGAAGGGAGAGCGTGGAGGAGTGCTCAGGACTGTTCAGGGCAGACCCCGATGGCACACAGACATTCCATTGGCAAGAGTCCACTGGAGGCCACACTGAGCTGCAAGGGAGGCTGAGCAGCGCTGTCTGTCATTGGGAATCTTAGCAGTCACATATGCCCAATTGGTCCCTGGTTCAGGGCCAGGTGCCCAGCCATGCCCTCCACTGTTGTTACCAGCAGGCAGCCATTGATGTGTGACTAGCTTACTGCTTGAATGGAGACAGGAAACTATGGCATTCGGTGCACAAAACTTCACTAACACGAATATTATGTGGTTAGCAGTTCTAATAAAAATACCCTTGCTGTCCTAAACTCCAAAACAGAGAAATGAGAACTTTTAATATGCCATCCCAAGCTTTCCAGAGTCATATTTATGCCAAATTTGTGGGTGCCCATTAATTCAGGGTACAGTAAAGCCAATTCCAGCTGTGCTTTGAGGTAACATAGTAGCCTTTGAAAACTCTGAGAGCATATTTGACCTGTTGCTATTTTCAGGTCAGGCATCAACTATAAAGGGCGCCTCTTGTTAACTGGTTGCCAATCGAGATTTACTTTTGTTATTTTTATGAAGAGATTGTTTGTGCCAGCCCATGGCATTTACTTTTGCGGGTCATCCTCACACTGATGTCCTGGTAATGAAGAGCCGTACTGGCCCCGACAAAGCAGCATTTGTTGTCCCAGCCCCTGGTCACAGGTGGGACCCCCTCAGCTATATCTGGAGGCCTCACTGCCAGGGCCCAGCCCCCCGTCTGCAGGGACGGCAGGGGTTGGCCGTGTTAGGAGGTGGGGTTCTGCAGGACTGAAGCCTCGCTGCCTGCCCTATCGTTTTGTTAAAATCTCTTAAGCATCTTTCTTTCTTTTTTTCCCCAGCCATAGCTTTGTGTTTCTGACAACACAGCCATGTAGTCTTGCATGAAATTGCTTGTTCCTCTGAAATGGTAGGGCACTGCCCAGCCAATCCGTATAACGTGCAGGAGCTTCAGCGTGCATGGGAGTCCATGTGACCACGTGGGCTTGTGATTTCAGGATGCTCTCTCCTAGCTGTCTGGGAAGGCCCCTGGGAGCTGGCTCGGTCTGTCTGTTGGTCTGTGAAGAGGAGTGTTACCTTGTGGTCTGGATGGCTCCTCATGCCTTTGACTCATGCTGTTGCTGGCATTCCCATCCAGTGTTCTGTGGATATAGCAATAGTGAGACATTGGGGGGTGAAACATCAACCCCCAATGGAAGCCTGTTCAGAAAGCTTTGTTGAATGGTGTCTGCCAGTTAGGATGGAAGCCCCAAAATAACATTGGCTTCAACGAGTTAAGGGTTTGGTTTTCTCCGGTCAACCTCTGGGGGTGGTCAGTCCAGCATGTCACTTTACCCAGCCAGGAATCCAGGCCAAGGGCCCCAGGCTTCTCCCATGCAGCTAGCAGGATGGACAAGGGAACAGCAGGGGGCTGTTTCTCAGCAGATGTAGATGCCATGTCTGCTCAAACCTTCTCCATCAGAACTTAGCCAGCTGGCTACCCCTTGTAGCTAGTGACTCTGGGAAACATACAGTTCTAGGCTCATGATTCTTAAGGCTCATATGTCCAGCTGCAATACTTAAGGCTTCCATTACTTCATAGAAGAACAGGAGAGTGTGGCTTCTGAGGACAACCAGCAGTTGATGTCAGGGTGGCCGGTGTGAGTGCGGGCAGAGGAGCCCTGCTGCAGGATGTTCACTGCAGATGCAGTAGGAGACCCTCAGGCTTGGCCCCTTTCTATGCTAGGGTCTTCGCCGCTTCTGAGCGACCAGCTGAGCAGAACACAGAAGGGCTAGTCAAAGGCTGCAGGGCAGGGAGTGCTGAGCTGAGACCAGGACTCAGGCTTATTTTGTCTCGGGGTGACATTTGCTGGGTGAGGGCTCTTGGTAGCCCTTCTCCTTAACATGTGAGTTGCCAGATGATGAGTGAACACAACCGCCACATGCAAGTAACAGGTTAATTATTGATTATCTACAAAGAGACCATTATGAAATGCTTTTACATGTTTTGGTTGCGCCTCTGTAGATTGGGTTCTGTGGTTATTTTGTGTTGATACTCTGCCACTGGCATCAGTAACACCGAAACTTTTCTTAAAGGTTGAATTTGATTTTTTGAGTAGGTAAAATACTACATGGTTCATAGATCATAATGCTTTAAAAAAGATTTGCAGTGTGTTCCTTTCTTCATCCACCTTATCTCCCACCCCACAGGTAAACTTTTTAAGGTGCGTGTGTGTGTGTGTGTGTGTGTGTGTGTGTGTGTAAGCTTCCAGTTTCTCTCTGTGTAAGTACAAGCAAATGCAACCATGTATAGTCCTTTTCTGTTACACAAAACATGGCGTTCCATATACATTGTTCTGCACCTTGCATTCTTGCTTACTAGAATTCCCTGCAGATTTTTTTATATGAGGCCCTTGTTCGTTATTATGGTTGCCCCAGGTTTTGGCACCCGAGCCCTCCTGAGGTCAGGTGTAGTGGTGCGGTATGAGGAGCAGGTGTGGCAGGGTCACAGTCAGTGGGGCCAGTTTGCAGATGCTCACGGTTGCACACAGCTCTGCAGGTGATGCAGCACAGCATGTGCCTTCACCCGATTCCGTCAGCTGGAGGGTTATCCAGTCTCTCCTGCAAGGATGCTTTTAGTTTTGCCTCCTCTCTTTGTGCTCACCCATCTCTGTTGCTTCCTTCTCTCCACGCTTTTACTGTTGTGTGTGCTTTACCTGTCTGCGTGAGGAAGACACATTCCAGCCCTTCTTAGTCCTCTCTGTGAGTTCATCTCTTTCTGGGGTTTAATTGTTTATGCAGTTCCCTGCACTTTCTGCTTGCCCTGAAATGGGGGTTTCAGGACCTTTCTGGGTGCCTCTGCCTCATGGTTGCTTAAAGCTCATCTATCCATGATAGCATTCATTTTTAAAATTTATTTTACAGACAACATTTTGCTGTGTTGCTTAGGTTGGGGTGCAGTGGCACAATCTTGGCTCACTGCAGCTTCAAACTCCTGGGCTCAAGCAATTTTCCCACCTCAGTTTCCCAAGTAGCTGGGACTATAGTCACATGCCAACATACCCAGCTAATTGGAAAAAAATTTTTTTTGTACTGATGGGGTCTCACTATGTTGCCCAGGCTGGTCTCTAACTTATGGCCTCAGGTGATCCTCCCCTCTCGGCCTCCCAAAGTGGACATGCATTTATTTTAATGTAAGGCCATGTTGGTAGCTCTTGATGCCATAGGAGCTGAATGAGGCAGGAGACTTTTCACTGCCTGCCAGTCACCCTAGCCGCCCACGTGGGGACCCCAGAGGACATTTTGACTCTTGAGTTCCCCTCCTCCTGTGTTCTTATCCTCCCCCTCCTGAGCCATTTGGTTGTCGCCTGTTTTGTCTTAAGCATAGGCTGCTGTATAACAGAAGCCGTTTGTGAGGGTGGGAGCTGGCGGTCAGCAGGGCCTCTGGCCTGGGAGGCAAGTGGGTTTGGATGAGGCGGGCACAGCGCCACTCCAGCACGTTGCTGTCCCGTGACCCTGCTGACTTGTTTGTCCTGGGCTGCTTGGTTTTGAACTGGGGTTGCTAGTTTTAGTCATACTCTAACAACAACAAACTAAGATTTTGTTTGGCCAGTTTTCCCGACATCCATCACTTGTACATTTCTGGGGGTTTCCTCTTGTTACTGGTTGTGGAACCACAGTGAACCCCACATCTAAATGAGCTTGCTCATGCGTGTACTTCGAGTGTCTTCATGGCAGTTTCCATAACTGACAGATGTGATGATCCTCTAGGAATTAGTAAGGCTTAATCCCCATTAGAAAGGAGCTGGGTCCATCCTGTTCGTCTGTCTGTCAGCCAGTCAGTAAATCCTACTGAAAGCAAAGTTCACCAAATGGGCTGCCACCCAACCTGAGGAACGTCAGTGTTTATAGGATTGGGAGCATCCTATAGGGTTCCTCTCTTCTTGCTGACAAGGTTTAGGACAGGTTGTCCTGTGCAGCTGGGCAGCTGTCGGTATGGTTGAGTGGGAGGGATAGACGTGGATGGTGAGTGTCCTCTTGGACTCCAGGCCAGCCGCTGGGATGCCAGAACAGGACAGAAAGCCCGCAGCCCTGTGGCTGGCAAAGGGTAGATGCAGTGGTGGGAATAGGGGCTGCCCTTTGGAACTACAAGGAGTGCAGTTGCTTTTCAGATGGCAGCAGAGGGCCAGATGCAGAAGGCTTAGAGTGACTTGGTGACCAGCAGGGCCTGTGTGCCTCCTAACCAGGCATTGGTGGCCAAGGAAGCCACCTGCACTGACTGTACGGTTCACCCCCGGAACACAGCATGTGGGGGAGTCAGGCAGACCAGGGCTTCATACTTCGGGGAACAGGGGCTTGAAGGACCCCAGACGGGGCCCTGGGAGGGGCCATAGCGCCACACTGAACCTGGGCATCGGGTCTCGGCATGGGTGTCAGACATATTTTCTGAATGTTTACACAGCCTGCTTCCTCTGGGCTCCTGGGTTTGTCAACTGTTCTTGCCTTCACATCCGTCAGTTTAGTAAAGGTGTGCTGAGCCCCTCCCATGGGCCAGAGCCCGGCTGTGTCTGAGCCCCGCACACCTGGCAAAAGCTGTGCGACCCCCGTCTCCACCTTGTGCATACAGGCACTTAAGGAATGCCTTTGCTGACAAAGACAGTATGCTTTTATTTTAGCCTTAGTTTCTCTGGAATTGTTTTTTTTGAGATTGAGTTACTGGTAAATATGGGACCCGGGGCGGGACTGGCTGGCGGCTCTGCCTCCTTCCTCCGAGGGCCCTGGGGAGAAGGTGTGGGACTGGCCACGTGCTGGTTTCTGCCCCATTTCCTGTTGGACCCCTGCCTCACAGTGTCCACCTCTCCCCACCCTAGCTATTGTTTAGAAAATGCTCCTGGAAAGGGCGATACTCTGTACCCTTCTGGCCCTGGGCCATGAACAGCAGGGAGGCCTGTGCCCACAGAGTGGCATGCCGAGGCTGGACTCAGGGAGGGCTAACCACCCGATTCTCCTCCTGTCAGGAGGTGAGCACAGCTCCTGATGCCAGACTGCGCAGCGTGTGTCGTGACCTTTGTTTGTGTCCTTTTTTCTAGTGACACAAAAGAAGAGAAGCCCGGTGTTGGTGGATTCATGCCCTTCGGGTTCTCTGGCGTCCTGTCGGGGGCAGCGACTTGCTTCTATGCCTTCGTGGGCTTTGACTGCATCGCCACCACAGGTATGCCTGCCAGCTCACCACGGTCCTGGGTCCCCCCGCACCCCTGGCAAACAGGCCGGTGTTGCTTATGGCTTGCCATTTCCCTTTTTGCTGGCACGGTCTTGTCGCCACTCTTTTACACATGGGCAATGTGTGGATTTGTAGCTTCCTACCAACACCTTCCACCCCCAAACCATTATCACATCCCCAAGTGTCAGCACCTGATGGAAGCTGCATCTCGAATGAGGCTAAGGTTCTGATGCTAGAATGGGATCATAGCCGTGTGACTGTGGCCTGATTTCATATCTGAGCATCTTCCGGGAGGAATGAGGCCATTCACAACATTGTCATCCTGGTGGTCTGAATGAGCCAGGCTTCAGTGGACCTCCCAGATTTTCTCTGCCAAAGGAAACAAATCTCTTCCTTTGCTGCCCCACCACGTTCAGGCTCAGAACACTGTCGCAGGGCCATGGGCCGTCTGATGTGTCTTTCTGCGCACCACCCTTCCGCTCCCAGAAGCCCAGGAGGCCCCCGTGCCCACAGGGCCGAGCGCTGGGGGGGAGGTGTCTCACCGTGTTGCGTAGGTTCCCTGGCACTGAGAGCCTTGGGTGTCATGTGGGCAGATGTGCTGCCTCTTATTGTGTGCCCTCCTCTACTGACCCCTTGGTGCTTCTAGGTGAAGAGGTGAAGAACCCACAGAAGGCCATCCCCGTGGGGATCGTGGTATCCCTCCTGATCTGCTTTATCGCCTACTTTGGGGTGTCGGCTGCCCTCACACTCATGATGCCCTACTTCTGCCTGGACAATAACAGCCCCTTGCCCGACGCCTTTAAGCATGTGGGCTGGGAAGGCGCCAAGTATGCAGTGGCCGTGGGCTCCCTCTGTGCTCTTTCCGCCAGGTGAGATGCCTTTCTGTGGTGGCTGCTTCTAGGGTTGGAACCACCAGCAGGGGTTAGGCTGTATCAGACCAGGTACAGCCATGGGAGACACACGTTGGCTGCCAGCATTCTTTACCCTTGAAACAGAGCCGGGACCCAACCCAGCCCTGATCATGTGGCTTTTCCCTTGTTGTCAGTATTCATCACCCCAAGACATGTGTTATTGAGATTTTCATCCTGAAGAACCCGAGGCTGGCTTTTCAGCATCATCTGCTTAGCAAGGGACTGGCTCTCTGTCCCTGACTCTGGCCACTGGACCAGGCCACCTGTTTGAACACCATATTTTGGCCCTCAGTTTGGCTGTAATGCAGAAGCTACTTTGAAGAAGGGAATAAATGCCTTTTAATGAGAAACATTTTCCCCGCTGGTATTTCCTTGTAGCCTGTGTAAACAGAGCTATTTGGTAAATATTGATTTACCTCAGGGAAATCCTCATGAATGCAGTGATGCTTGTATTTTCTGTTTGATTCAGCTGGAAATAATTGCAGGAATAAATACAGTTTTGCATCTGTAAAGACTGTACTGGGTCTCATGCTAGTGTATGTGAGATGTTCTCTGTTCTTTACCTTAATCCATACTCAGTGTGTGCTCTTTCTGGGGTTGATTTTTTTAAATGCCAAGTCTTTTAGCCACAGGCCTCACACAGCATGGAGGGATGGCAGCTCTTGGTGAGCTCAGACTCCTCCTTCACGGTAAACCGAGCATGGCTGGATGTGGTGCCTTTATCCCTTATGAGCTAGGGTTCTCACGCGGTTTGCCTCTCCCCATCTAGTCTTCTAGGTTCCATGTTTCCTATGCCTCGGGTTATCTATGCCATGGCTGAAGATGGACTGCTATTTAAATTTTTGGCCAAGGTCAATGACAGGACCAAAACACCAATAATCGCCACGTTAGCCTCGGGTGCCATTGCTGGTGAGTACTAGAACTCATTTCACATGTAAATATTTTCACAATTGAGTCGTTGACCCCTAGGGAGACATCTTGCATTGTTCTGGTCTGTAATTTTAACTGGTCTTTTTAACTCCTGGTTTTTATACTTGGAGCCTGGTTTATTGAAAGGTGACTGACCTTTTGACAAAAGTCAGAGGCAGTTTGACAGAGGATGGGATAGAATTTTCGAAGAGTTTGCACTCTGGTTTTCATCTCATTGGGAAGAGCTTAGAACACACAGTATTCCCCCAAAATCTTTTTCCCCCATTTCTGGACGTTTCCCTGTCAAGGCCAGGCTGACACCTTCCTGCATGACACAGGCCAAGGGAGAGTTCGTGGGTACCTGGAAATTCAGCATCCGTGTTATAAATTCTCTGGAAAACAAGTGTCCGTTATGATCAGTGTTTTATAAAATGTGCTACCTCTTCCCGAGGGAGTATCAAGGGTGTTGCTGATGAAGCTACCGCCCCTCAGTTGATACGTAATAGCAGACACAGTGGAGCTTCACCTTGTCAGATCAGCATTTTGTTGGATGAAATCAGTGGGGTGATGAACTCTCTGAGCTGTGTGGGTGTTCCAGGGCCCTAGATGAAGGGAAGGAGCACCCAAAAGGAAGCTCACGTGCACAGTGTACCTGTGGTGTTATGTTTCCTCCTTTCGCAATTTCATTTCCTAGCCCCGAAAGGCAAGACGCCAGCCTACTGTGCAGATGTAGAGGTGGAGGCCCAGGGAGGTGAAGTGAGGATATGCATTCAGGATGGTGGAGCCACCTTGAGATTCCAGGATTGTTTTCATGCCAAAGTGGCCAACCTCCTTCCCGGGTCTGAGTAGAGCAGTGGGTCTTTTTGGCAAATTAGGGCATGTGGTATCAGTCACAGTTTCCACTGCAGCGGCTTGTCCAGTAGCCATTGGTAAGGCACTTGACCTTCTTTCTTAAATGAATGAATTATTCGCTAAGTTTTATTACCACCTACTCCCTTAGCAAACTCTGCTTAGTTTTGTGGATTAATATTATATAATAAAACAAACCTATCTTTAAATTTTGAAACATCTTTTATGTGATTCTATGCTCTTGAGAGTGACCACAGTGGTCATATTGAAAGGCACTATACATCAGAATTGGACCCGTATATTTACAGGATTAAGGATCTGGAAACAAAAATAGTTTTTTCAGGCTTTGCCCGGAATTTGATCATATTAAAGGCTGGCCTTGATTTTTCCATGCTGATAGAGGGGGATCCAACCGTGCTCTTTGAAGTGACTGTAAAGTACATGCCATTCATGAAATCCAGGCTTACCCTTTTCATTTGACGGCAGTGGGAAGTAAGTATTTGGTTATGTAAAATTACCTCACATGGAAGAAATTAGTCTCAAGTTCCCCGTGAATAGGAACGTTGGCATTTGTGGCATGCACAGTTGGGTGCTGTTCTGATTATCAGAAGGTCCTCCCTCATCGCTCTTTAATTTTATGTTTTATCCTCCATTTAAATTTGTTTTAGTTGCAGTGATCTAGAGGGGCTTAAAAGATATTTGTGGAGAAATAATGGTTTTGTGTTTATTTTTTAGCTTGTGTTGATTCCATGTGTTTTGAAAATATCCCAAAGCAGATCTAGGCAAGATGTTTTTTAATGAGTACTTGACATACACACCCACATGAGTAGACAGGCATGCTCTCACAAAACTCACAAAAGATATTCAAATAAGGGTGCAGGTTTTAATTACATTTTAAAGGCAAGGGACACGGTGAATGGGCTGATACTATATTGTTTGAGAACAACTCTTCAGGTTTCTTCCACGTGAAGGGACTTCACATGTGAAGAACTCTGCTTTCCTGCTCATCTTCCTGGGTTAGGACCCCCTATGAGTGCCCCCAGAGCGCCAGAACTTCCCCTTCTCTACTGCCCACTGTTGTGCACTGATGCCTGTGTCTTGGGAGGGAGTACACTCAAGGAAGGCTGGGCAATGTGGCCTGCCCTGTTCAATGGTGAATACCTAGAATCCAATGATGGGCATGCCTTGATCGGAGCTGGATGATGGAATATGGGTAGAAAGGATAGTTGTTGAATGGATGGATGGGTGGATGGGGTGGGATGGGATGGATGGATGGATGAATGGATGGATGGGTGGATAAGATGGATGGAAGATGGGCAGATGGATGAGATGGATTGATGGATGGTGAGTGGATGAATGAAAGATGGGCAGATAAACGGTTTAATAGAGAATGGATGGATCAATGGGATGGATGATGGATGGATACACATGAGTCTGTGAGTCAACATGGTCTAAAGAAAGACACATAGGACTCAGAGTCATAAGAACCTAGTTCACATCCTTATACCTATGCTTGTGAGCTGTGTGACCTTAGATAAGTCTCCTAACCTGTGTGAATGTCAGTTTCTCCATCTGTAGTGTAGGAATGGCTTACAGAGTTGCCATAAAAATTACAAGAATGAGAGTATTCTCTGTGCAAATGTCAACAATTACTATCGTCTGTTGAGGACTGTGTCTGTGATTTAGTCCTGAGCTTGACTTCCCTTTAAGCTGTGTCTTTCTGTGGGAAGGCCGGGGAGGGGGTGGGAGTAAAAGCAGCCCCCTTCTGTGCCCTGGATGGTGGGTGGTAGTGGTCCTGCTTGTCAGTGCAACCAGACGGCCATCCACAGATCCTGCTGTCTGTCTCTTCCCAGCTGTCATGGCCTTCCTCTTTGACCTGAAGGACTTGGTGGACCTCATGTCCATTGGCACCCTCCTGGCTTACTCGTTGGTGGCTGCCTGTGTGTTGGTCTTACGGTATGTATGGCTTTTTGGGGTTTCGTGACAGAAATGCAGAATGGAGGCACCTGATAGCCTTTTCACAGTTCAGCTATGGTTTACGTGATGAAACTTTTAGGTTGGTGACAGCTCCACTGGGAGCTGCCAAGGAAGGGGTAGGACCTAGGCTGACAGCCAAGTTAGGAAGACGTCCTTGGCAAAAGTTGGGGTGCCCCTCACCCTCCTCTATCATGTGCCCTCATTTTTCTGGCTAATGTTGGGTAGATAGAGACAGGTTCTCAGCCCAAGTATTAGACCAGGATCCAGGGATCAGAATTTTTGAAGACTGATTGCAACTTGGTTCCAGTTCTTGAGACAGACAGGATTGAGGGCTACCTTGGTAGGAGTTAGGAAAACCCAAGGCCTGTGAAGCTCAGGTCTGTGTGATGCTTCTGCGGCTTCGTTGCACTGTGGCTGGAGGAATGAATCCCACTGTGTGGCATGGGCGCCCAGGTTGATGTTCAGGGTCACTGTCGAGGTTGGCTTGTTGTAGCCCGGTTGGGGCCAGGCAAGCCTCTTGCAGTTGCAGTAAAGCTGCTCTGGGCCTGGGCTTGGTACCTTGGTGTTCCCACCTGCCCCAGCACACACTCCCAAAGCACAGCCCTGGCAGCATTCATCCTGAGAACCTGTGCTCACGGAGACACTCAGTACTGGTCTCCCCTCAAGAGCCTCCTTGTTTCTCTTCAGGCATCTCCACCTGCATGACTATTGATTGCATGTCCAACTTGCTCAGCAGCTGATGTACATAAAACCCAGGCTGAGCCTTAGCAGCAGATCTGTAGAATCAGCTAAGACTATTGGGGACCCCTTATTCCTCCCAAGGGGCCCAATGCTGAATAGTCTCTGAGGTCCCCCACTTTCTTAATTGACCGAGTGGTGTTGCACAAGGGAATCAGTGCAAAAATGGTTAATATCTTTATACTCCCTCTTAGAATTGATCATATGCAAAATAATTCATACAGCACTCCATTTTTCAAAGCTGGTGGAAAGGATTTGCACTCTGTTCGTTTTGGGTGGGAAGATAAGGAACCTCATTCAGAACGGATGCTTCACCGGCTGGTATCTCATGTCTTGGAAATCATGCTGCAGGCTCGGCCCTCCAACCAGCCACATACAATGATTTACTCCAGGGTGCTTGGAGTTTAAAAAATGAATTGATCCAATTAAGTCACACAAACAGAATTTCTCAAATCCATCAGCCTGCAGCCACATTCCTCTGGCTCTTGGTGCCAAATAGGATCCTGGTGTTCCTGCTTTCTATTTCTGTCCTTCCTTTTAGCTCCCTACAGCCGTAGTTTTGTGGGAAGTGGCCTAGTATCTTTAGCATCTGAGGGCCACTGCCACTTCCCTCGGGGTATTCCTCGGGGTTGCTCGTGGTGGAGTTCCTGTTTCCTGGAACCAGACCATGGAGGATGTGCTCCAGAAGCAAGAGCAGGAGGTGACCTTCCCAGTCTCCTCTTAGTCTGCAGTGCAGCCTCTGACTATCTCCTTCCCATTTCATACCTCATGTCCCAGGCAGCTAACTTTGTAGTTTTACAGAAACTGACTTTGTAGAATGTGGGTTGCCCTTTTGCTTTAAGTGGATAATGGTTGGTCACACAATACATTTCTTCCCAGGTACCAGCCAGAGCAACCTAACCTGGTATACCAGATGGCCAGTACTTCCGATGAGTTAGATCATGCGGACCAAAATGAGCTGACTAGCACCAGTGATTCCCAGCTGGGTTTTTTACCAGAGGCAGAGATGTTTTCCTTGAAAACCATACTCTCACCCAAAAACGTGGAGCCTTCCAAAGTCTCTGGGCTAATCGTGAACATTTCAACTAGCCTCATAGGTAAGAGCTAGCCCTTCCCTGGGGCCTCGCTTGCTGGCATTGCGTGGTTTCTCGGCAGTGGAGCTGGAGTCGGGGGAAGGTGCCAGAGAAGCTGAGCGTCTGCCTTGCTCCTGGACTGAGGCATAGTTACTCTGTGCTAACTGTAGTTGATGCCTTTGGAAATGGAGCCTCTCTCTCCCCAAGTTTTGGGGAGAGCAGCAGATGCTTGTGGGAAACAGAAATGGCTGAGTTGCAGCTCGCTCTGTCTCTTCTTCCCCCTTAGCTGTTCTCATCATCACCTTCTGCCTTGTGGCTGTGCTTGGAAAAGAGGCTCTCACCAAAGGGGCACTGTGGGCAGTCTTCATGCTTGCAGGGTCTGCCCTCCTCTGTGCCATGGTCACGGTCGTCATCTGGAGGCAGCCCGAGAGCAAGACCAAGCTCTCATTTAAGGTGAGCAGCTCGGCCTAGTGGGCCTGTTGCAAGGAAGGAACGCTGGTACACAGACCCCAGCCCTGCACAGGCTCAGCTGGGCCCGGGTGCTCCGGACGAAGGTGTTTACCGGTCAGTTCAGGTGCTAGGGGACAGGGGCCCTGAAGGCACCGAGAGGACCGGACCCTGGAAGGAGGCAGCCCTCCTCCTGTGGCTCTCCGGTGGTGGGACGCTTCTTGTAAATGTCTGCCCAGGTTGATCGCATGACTTTTCCAAGCCTTGGAGACAGGCAAGGCTTCTACATGTTTAGATTACACAAATAATAAAACAGACCTTAGAGGTAAAATGGAGGTCCATCTTCTAGTCCCTTCTTTAGCAGGAGAATCATGAGAGAGAAAAATCAGAACGGAGCCCACTTTGCCACTCAGAGCTTAGAACCAAATCCCCACCTACTAGGATTTACCCTTGGGTTTGCGTGTGGAAGCGGGGGTGTTGGGGTGTGCGGGGTGGTGTTGGGGTGTGGGGGTGGGCACGCACTCTGTCTTCCTCACGCTCACCTGACAGTCCCCATCATTGTCTGGCGTGCTGCCTTTTGCTAGACAGTGTTACTGAACTGCTGGAACTGGCGCCACTGCCACCGACTGATGCCGCCTCCTGTCTCTGCAGGTTCCCTTCCTGCCAGTGCTCCCCATCCTGAGCATCTTCGTGAATGTCTATCTCATGATGCAGCTGGACCAGGGCACCTGGGTCCGGTTTGCCGTGTGGATGCTGATAGGTATGTGATGCTGCCACCAGCACGTCCACGATCCTGGCTTCTCTCAGGGGCCTCCCTTGTTTCAGGATTTATAACACAATGACACACATGCAGTCAGCAGCTTTCTCAAAGATAACGCTGAATCCCTGGTAGGTTGTGAGCCCTCTCCTCCCTGTTAGATACTTTTTGTTTTCATTGCCTCTTGCCCAAACTATTTATTCTGTTGGACACGACCTTGATATTAACAGGAACAAGGTGATGAGTCAGCTGCAGATAAGGTACCAGTTATTTTCACCCCAGACAGGAAAGTCTGGCCTGTGCCTTTTGGACCCTTGGCCTGCCCAGCACCAGATTGGTATGGGTACGAGGCCTAGGCAGGGGTGGGTGTCATGGGCTCCTCTGTGATGACGTCTTCTCTGTGAAGGACGGTGTTTTGGAGCCTATGGGACATGCCACTGGGGTAGGGGCTTCCATTTGAGATAGATCACCAGGGCAGGGTGCAGCCTGTAGGGCCGGCCAAGTCCCACCCCTCTGGGCATCTCACCCCAGGGGCTGGAGGGGAGGGACTCATTTCCTTCCTCTCAGCATCTGAGTGGTAGTGCTGGTAGCCAGGGATGTGGTCCTTGCCGTTGCCCCTCAGGACCATGTCCTCACAGCCTCCCAGCCCCGAGTTTGCATGCTGTTGGGTGGATGGCTGCTGCCTCATCTTCCAGGACCTCGAGGGGTGCTTTTCCTCCAGGAAATACTTAGCGGCCCCCTTTCTGCCGGCACCAAGGTGGGTCCTCATTCTCTGCAAAGTGCAGCCCATGTCTAGTTAGGCAGACATCTCCTGGAGCGTTTCTGAGAAAAAGCTGCTCACAGCCCACTGTGGCCACTTCCTCAGGGCCTGGTGAAGGCAGAGGGTGCCTCTTCCCAACGTCCCTGTAAAGTCCCCGTGTTCAGGAGCCTGAGCTCCTTTCCTGGGTTCTGCGTGGCTGAGTCCTTGCTTTGAGGCCTGCTTTCCTGTGTCAACCACACGAGGTGGCCCTGGAGCCATCTGGCCACAGTACATGGGCAGGTGGTTAGAAGCATAGGTCCTGGACCTACCCGAGTCCTGGGTGCAGGAACAGGCTGTGGACTCCTGTGTGAAGTCTGTTCCCAGGACTAGTGTGTCTCTTATAGTCTGATGGTCAGTTGCATGGAGGAAACGGGGCAGTGGGATTGTCCAGGCTGACAGCCTGGAGACCTGCACCACCTGTGGGAAATCCCATCTCCATAGTGCACATTCCTGATACTCTTGTGGCCTCAGGGGGCATCAGGGGGTTAAGGTGAAGGACCCAATGGCTTCTGGTGGCCCTGGCCCAGCTGCTCTGTCTGCTCAGGAAACGCCGCAGCATGAGGCCATCCAGAGGAATGTAGGGCTTTGCCAGATGTAGAGGCAGACAGTGGCCTTCATGTGGCAGCTGCTCCAGATGTGGAAAGGTCCCAAGGGCCGCTGGCTGCAGGCTCATGCCAGGCAGGAGCAGGCCGCCTGAGAGGGTTTGCTGTGGGGCTGCCCTGGGCTCCAAGCCCTGCCTGCGGTGGTGTAGCCGGCACTCTGTTCACGCCCGTCTCTCCTGTCGGCCCTCAGGCTTCATCATCTACTTTGGCTATGGCCTGTGGCACAGTGAGGAGGCGTCCCTGGATGCTGACCAAGCAAGGACTCCTGACGGCAACTTGGACCAGTGCAAGTGACGCACAGCCCCGCCCCCCGGAGGTGGCAGCACCCCACGCCCCCCTCCAGTGCAACAGGAATCACCCACACCCACACCCACACTGTAGCCGAAGGTGCAATTACTTGAACTGCAGCCCTAGCCCACTCTCGGCTCTGCAGCTGGCTCTCCAGGCCCTGGTCACCTCCAGACAGCTGCCTGGCCAGGGCCACTGGGCTGCGGCTGGCCACTGTGTCTCTTCACTTCTCTGAACAAAGAGAGCAGGTCCTCTCCTACCAGCTCAGCCCCAAGCTGCTGCAGCCTCAGGCAGAGTGGAGGTCACCTTCTCCCCTTATCTTGGGGACCAGGCCTTCCTCCCGGGGGACTGTTCTGGGGTTGAAATTCTGCATACTCCACACCTTAGCAACCATCTTCCCGCTCAGCCCCAAATACCCAGCAGTCAACAAGATGAGTACCACAAAACAGTGCGTCCCACCAGCCCCCCACCCGCAAAGCCAAACGATGGTATTACACTTAAAAAGAAGAATCAGGTGGTTTTTCCCCATTGTGTTCAGATGGGTCGTTAGGACTGGACCTGGCCCATCCCTCGGCTTCTGAGGGCTTTGCTGTGACACCACGGCAGCCACCCGGGGCCGGCCAGCAGGGCTGAGGGCAGCTGGTTCCTCTCAAATGAGGAAGAAGGGATCGCTCCCATTAGGGCCTGGTGGGAGGTGGCCGGCTCTGATTGTCCGTGTGTGTGCACGTGTATAAACCAGGGACCTCCTTCAGCCCACGCCCTCCAGGCCTGGGCCAGTTCTTGCTGCTCCTGCCGTCTCCCCCACTGGCTGTGTCCTGAGTAACTGGAACGTGAGACTGTATCTGGGCGGGATTGTCCTCACGCGGCAGAGTTGGGAACTTTCCTGTGAGTCGCCGCCGCTCACTCAGTCTTGCCCTCCCATGCTTGGAACCAGTCTGTTGGCTCTTGTGAGGTTCTCAAGGTGGGTAGCAGCTCAGCCCAGGGTCATGACATGTCGGGTCATGGTGTTTCCGGCCCTGACATGAGCTGCCCAGCTTCTTTGTTACGTATGATGAAATTGAAATCAAGCCACGGCCCATGAAATTGTGAATCACTCCACCAGATTAAGTTAGGGCGTAACGTTAACTTGGAAATGGCCACGTCATCACCCCCTGTGGTTGGCGTATTGCTGAGGTGCTTGGGCCGTCGGGGAGGTGATTTCCAGGCATATTGTTGTCCCTTCTGTGCGTCCGTCATCCGGATGCTGCGGACCCCATGCCTCCGCAAGTGGAAGGGTCCGGAGCATCCTCCCCTGCCTGTCTTGCCTGGGTCAGAGCCTGCAGCCAACACCATTTCACACACTCCTTGTAGATGGAAGCCAGAGGAAACCTGGATTCGGGTGGAGCCCTACTTCCATTGAGACTATAATTGAGAGACAGAAGGCTGATGGGGGAGGGGGAGGAAGGTGGGCATTTTGGACACCAGGGGAAATGGAAATCCTGATTTCAAAACTAGTTTCCTTTCCATTTCTTCCTAGTCTGCCCTTTGACACAAATCTGGTAGAAAGAAGCGTGATAAATTGAGGGCCCTTATGCTCTCCCTGTGCCAGAAGATTCTCGGAGAGAAGTGTGAGAATTTGGGAACTCGCCAGCAGAGGGCGGGTGGGCGGCCTCGGGCTGGGCCTCCATATCAGGCCTGCTCACCTTGCTGGAAGCTTTGTTTTGATCTCATTTTGAAAGTTCCAGAGGGAGCATCATAAGAGCCCAAAGCTCCGATTTCCAAAGAGAGGTATTGACATTTATGTAGATTGGTGCTGTAACATATTTTGATAAATACTAACTTATTTTGTTGGGGTTTTGATTATCTCTTGTCCTAGGACCTGGTAGTTATTTGCTTGATTTTTTTTTTCATGTTATTTTCTACATAGGTAAAGAGAACTCGAGGGAAGGAATTTCCAAGAAAAGTTAAAGTGGTGGGAGAGAGAGTTTTTTTTTTTTTTTAACTCTAGTTTTTCTTTCCGGCTGAAATTTCTGTGCAAGACATCACGCAATAGACTATTTAGAGTTGACACTTGAGCGGGTGCCATGGATCATTCTGTAGATTGAGAGGGTGTGTCTCCCCTGCTCCCAGCTCCTGACAGCTGGGAGTCTGGCCTTCCTCACGCAGAAGCCTTAAAGCCCGATGCGGAAGCACGCCCAGGTAGGCAGGGATGGGATCCCCCTGCACCCCCGCCTTAGAGGACGGTCTTCCTAGTTAGGAAAGGACACGTGGGGTGCCTTGCATAAATAGTTCACTGGCCACCGTGCTTTTATGGGGAGTTCTTTTGTACAGTTGCCAGGGGTTTTCTCTGCTGCGTGTGAAGGCAGTGATTTAAGTCATGGTGTTTGGAGTAAGCCTCACAATTTTAATAGACTTTTTTCTTATCACATCCCTCATTTCTTTCCCTGAAATAAAAATACACACAGCAAAAAAAAATGATAGTTTCACATCTCTTAGTTCCCTTGGCTAAACGAGAATATTCTTAGTTCCACGGCTGGGCAGGATTTTCCTTCATAGAACTTCCACATTACTAGAGGCACACCGGCCAAGGGAGTATTGTGTCTACTTTTATCTGTGCACCAGCCACAAATACCCACATTGGAAAGACCCATTTGTGATGGGTAAACATCCCTTCCTGTCTCCCACACCCCCGTGACCACCCTGCATGTGCTCATGACCTCCAAAGGCCCACACTCATGAAGTGGCAAACCCAGCAGATCCCCGGGCCCCCTGCCTCAGGACCTCTGCTGAAGAGGGGGATGAAGGGGTCTCCAGAGAGGCATCAGGGGACTTGAGGGTGGCTGGCTCGGGAGCCAGCTTACAGGAGGGCAGCTCTGTGGTGGGGAGGGGCACCGTCTGGCGACCAGGCCTCCGCACATCCCCACCCTCCTTAACCTGCTCACAGCGTCTTGGCCGAGGCTTTGTGTACCAGATGTTTTTTTCTAAATGAAGAGGTGATCAGATCTCACCCCACTGTTGGTTTTGTTGTTGCAGCAGCAAAAGCTCTCTTTCCACTGCGGCTTTTATCTCTATCAGGCAACCAGCCACCTGGTCCCGTGTGCTGACTGTAGCACAGTGCCCAGGATCCAATGCGAGTCCAGGGGTGACCGCAGGACGGTGGAGGCGGCGGGCTTCTCCACGCATCCCAGCCGCCAGGGCCCTGATGCACTCCCTCCTGCCCCTTCAGCACATCCGTGTGCACAGCTGGAGGGGCACCTGGCCCGCTCACCTTCCAGGCCCGTGGAAATGCTGGGGATGCCAGCTCCTCCCCACCTTGCCCCTGCCACTGAGCAGGCATTAACTGGCTGGTGTTTGCAGTCCCACATGGTGTGGCCTCCAGAGTGGTGAGTTCCAGTAGGGCAGCGTGCGGACGTGCTCCATAGAGGCCCCGCCCAGGCCTACAGGGCAAGGTCTTGGACACTGACCCAGGAGTCACCGCTAAAGCAAGCCTGCCTTGGCTCTGTGCCGGGGCCCCTCTCTCCTGATTCACACATCCCATTTTTGCACAGACACTTCCTTCTTAAGAGCTGACAGCTCTGTCGGCATCCAAGAACCCACACCATGAAGACAGGGAGTGAGGGGCCTTTGTGCCCAGGCCAGCACAGCTGCGTTCTGGAGTGGATGCAAGGCATGTTCGTGTCCATACCTCTGCCAGTTCCCAGGACACAGAAATTGCTGGGTGGAGGCGACTTAAGGCTTGTGTGTAGAGTGGTTGCGGCGTTCACCTGCAGACCAATCTGAATATATGTCATGTATAATTGTTATGTGTAATTTAAGATATATCTGTTTGCCATCGTCATGGGAAGATATGTAACGCTCTTAAGGGAGAGGGAGGTGTGCATGCTGTCAGGCTCCTGTGGACTTTGTCCTAGTAATGAAATGCTCTGTCAATCCAGTGGTGCAAGAAGCTACACTCCATGTGTCATCACGCTTAGGAATGACGTCGAATGGATTTTTAAGGCAAAAGCTGTCAGCGACACCCATCATCGTCCCTCGCATCCAATCTTTCCGTGCCAGTGCTTCAGAGCCACAGCGCTCTCTTGCCATCGGGACTGGCTGGGCCTGGCGTCTCGGGGCTCAGTTACCATGGAGCTCTCCTGGATCACTCTACAAATGTGCTGAGTGCCAGCTGAAAACCCCACAGGAGATGGAGTACCTTGGTTAAACTTAGGGAAGATTTTTCTCAGGGTATTTACCAGTGTGTCCAGCAGGTCAGGAAGCAGGGATGGAAAGACGCATTCAGACTGCTAATTTATTAACAAGGCAAATGAGTTCATGTTTCTTGATGACAAACTATTAAGTTTGGGATTTATTTTCCCATTCGAGAAGTTATAATATATATTTAAGATAAGTTTCCTGCTTAAGTTGTGCCTTTCTGCTTCAACGAGTTTAAGGAGCACTAAGGGTAATGCTACCAATGAGGGTTGGTTTATTATCAAACCTGAATAGCTGTGGTTTCTCCAGCAAATGTTTTCTTCTACTGAACATGGAGCCATTATTAAGAGTTGTGTGTTTTTTTATTATGTACATTTGTATATTTTTTTGCTTGTTTGATGTTCTATTTTTCTAATAGTTTTCTTATAGTTTCCTAAAGTTGCGACACTAGACATAGAGTCCGATGCTAACTGCAAATCAGGCTGGCCTCTGCTGGGTCTCTCCTGCTTTTATTTTACTGTAAGGATAGTGTAGTTGTCGTCCACCACCTTTCAAAAAATGTGAAACTGCCCCGCCCGCGCGCCACCCCCCGCCTTTTTGCTGACATCACTGTGTACATTGACAACTTCCTACCATACTTTATGTTATAAAATCAAACTATTTCGTGGTACATTATCTCACGCTTCCGCAAATTCTAATAAATTCTGTCTATGGCTTCCATGTGCACGGTGTGATCGCAAGAATCCTAGCAGGTCTCTGCTGGGTCCCAGACCTGGTGGTGCCCCATAGAGAGTTCCAATCCCGCCCTGCGTCCCCACAGCCCATGACTTGAGTCCCATCCTCTCACTTTCCTGCCATTTGGACATGAAATCCTCATTTCAACAGTTTGAGCCTCAACCAGGGAATCCCTTGAGCCCCCATTTTGGATGCTCTGATATTACCTCCAGATTTGTTTGGCTTTGGGGCCACAGAGGTCTTCCTTCCAAGCAAGCTGCCGGGGTAAAGCGACTCCAAGGCTGCCAGTTGTCGGGCATTTGCTGAAGGACTTGGTCTCCGGCACCAAAACGCTCTTACCCATTGCCACCCCAGCCTGTGCTGGCCTGCACACACACCATCCCGTTGGAGGGAGCAGAGGGCAGAGGGGCTGGGGTGACGAGTGTACCATTTTGGTAATTGTTGCTCTCTGACTCCCTCAACTCCTTTGAGAAAGGATCCATTTTTTTGCACAGGAGGCAGATTCCATCAAGTGGGCCTTGATTTCCAGACAGTAAGATGCAGTGGTTCACAGCAGCTATACCAGCAGATCTGCTGCCCACAACAGAAGGTCTGACCTTTCGGATGATGGATGGTGCTGAAGGCAGACACTCAGGGAGCGGTGTGGGGAGTAGGGCCAGCGAGCTGCTCTCTGGACCCCAGCTTGCCTATGATCTGGAATATGTGATGAGCACGTGCACCTGAGAGCACCATGCACAGTTTGTGTTTGTTGGGCACAGAGAAAACCAGACCACAGAGCTTGCGCAGTGTGGAAGCAAGGCTGTGCAGCATGTCCCAGGGACACGGGATAAGTGTGGTCTCTGGCCCGGTGTGATTACTGCGGGAGGTTCTGCTGATGCAGAATCGGATCCACAAAAGGGGCCAGAGTCCCAAAGCAATGGGCTCCAGAATTGGGAAATAAGCATGCAGCATGCCTTGATCCTGGATTTTTGCAGGTGTCCTGTAGGACGGCGACCTCTGGTCCCTGAGGATGACTTTGAGCCAAGTGCAAGGTGAACCCCAGTTCCCGCAGCGCCACACTGCCACCTAGTGGCTCTGCTTGGTGCTGCGCAGGCAGCTTGAAAAGGCCATGCCAAGTCTTTGAGCCATCTCTTCGAAAACCCTGACCAGTGGCTCCTCAAGGCCCTGTGGGACGATGCCCGGCAGGAGGCTTGAGAGGCACCACCTGGAGAAAGTTTTCCCTTGCACAGTTTGGTTATGAAGCACCTCTGGTCAATCAAAAGCTACCCCCAAATGGCATTCACAGCAACAAGGAAGCCTGTGGAGCCACAACCTGGGATGCTGGCCCTGCCTTTCAAACCCAGCTTCCAGCCCACCCTTGCTCAGACACCACACGGATCTGGGCAGGGTCTGGGACTGCGGGGGCAGGGGATGGGCTGGAACCAACTACAGATAATCCCATCAGCCCCCCTTCAAAGGGAACAGTTCAGTTTTACCAAATGAAGCCTGTCCACCCAGCCGTAAATATAGCCATTTAAGAAATGCAGTTTGAAGAAGAGCCTTTGGGAATGAAACAGGCAGTGTATTTGCTAATGAGGGGAACAGCTTTTTGGCTCTCAGTGTGGCACAGCACCTAATTCCAGTGGATTTGGGACTGCCTGTGGAAGAAAAAGCTGTGGCTGGGTGGGAACTTATTGGGGATGCTTTTAAATTCTCCTTAAAACAACGCACCTGATGAGTGTCGGCTGGTTCAGAAGCGCTGTTCCCGCCATGAGGGACGCGGGACGAAGCCCAGTGCCTGCCGCGTGAATTTGGTGATGCAGTCCTGCGAGAAGGCACCATGAAGGGGCAGCGGCTGCGTGGCAGGGGCTCTCTGGTTGCCTGTGGTGTGGGTGCCACAGAGGGAGGAGTTATTGGCCCCCAGGAGGTCTGTACACATGCACACTGCAGGGCCGTCTGAGCTCAGGGCTGCAGGGCATCCCCACCCTGCCTGGTGTTGGCACTGGAAAAAAATTCCCGACTTAGCGAGGAAGATTGGCCTGCATCATCAGGCTGCATTGAGTGACCCGAGCCTGGCCGTCAGAAACACCAGATATCTGTCCTGGTTTGGGGGCAAGAGGTTTGAGAGATGCAGACTGGCTAACAAAAACACTTAGCAGATGTAAGTGAATTGTGAATTAACACGCTCTGTGCCACCAGAATGGCCTACCAGCCTTTGGGGTGTGTGTGTGTGTGTGTGTGTGTGTGTGTGTGTGTGTGTGTGAGTGTGTGTGTGTGTGTGTGTGCGCGCGCGCGCGTTTGACAGGCTCTCACGTGGGCAGGAGCCTCACCACGATCCCAGAGTCATGGCTCGAAGCGTACACACTGATGCAGCAATGGCTTTGAGAACAGCCTTTGACTCCAGTCGCAGGTGGAAACCTGTCCGACCATTTGGCTCCCCCCATGCTTAACTCCGTAACTCCCATCTTGCTAGGGTGATACAAGCCTCCCACGCAGGGAGAGTCAGGCTCTCCAAGGCTCCTTGGCACAGAGGAGGTCAGTGAGTGAGTTGACTTCCAGAGTCTCCTCTGCCTACTGCAAATTAGCCATGGAAGGAGACGCCGCTCTCCATGGACAGTGGAAAGCTGGCTCCAATCTCATCTCCTGCTTGTGCCAGTAGCTGCCACCTGCCTTGTTCCCTGAACACGGTGAGTTAAGGACAATGGGAGGAGGTCATTATGAAAGTGAAGGGCGCACAAGACACCCCAAAAGAAACAAATGGGTTAGGACACGTTGCCAGGTAGATTATTAAGAATTGCCATTGATACCCTGGGAGGTCTGGATGACCCAGAGGTGGCCCTGGGGTGTTCCCTGTGACATCCAGAAGTAAACTGCGTGTCATCTACAAAGGGTCTGTTCAGTAACTGTTTAGGAGGGACTTGCAGAACTCTCTAAAATAGCAGCCACTCCCCCACACCCTGCAAACCACTGCAGGGAACCTGTGAACCCAGGCTTCTTCTCCCTTGTTAACAGTGCCAGGCACCTGTGGGACACTCCAACGGCCAGCTGGCTAAACCGGCTGCAGTCCAAACTGAAGGCCATCAGGATGGGGGGAGCAAGCACTTTTGGGCTGAAATGAATGAATGACCTTTTGAGTCCTCTTTCCAGCTTACTCAGCACACCCTGGCCTTGCCGAGCAGAGGCACTGAGCTCCCAAGTCCAGGGGAGGGGCTGCTCAAGCCCCCCGGGCTGGAAGGCTGGGACCTGCTGAGTCTGGGAAGGGGGATCTCCAGACTTCTTTCATGGACGAGCACCCGACCCCAGCACACACAAAAAAGGAGTCCAGCCTGCAAACACCCCCGCTTGCCTCCCTGCCTGGGATCCCCAGCCTGAGAGGGACAGGTCTCCAGTTACATCAAGTAGATATCACAGAAAGTCCCTCAAGTTTATTTTAATAGGCTTTAGAGTTAAACACAAATATGCAACACAAACCATAGGGGCAGGAAAAAAGATGTTGTGACCCCATTCATTCAACTAATGACAGCCAGGGCTACCCCCATCCCCACCTGTTCTGACGCTCAACCAGAGCCTTGTCCCAGCATGTGGTGGCCAGGGGCGGGGGTGGGGGCAGGCTGCCCATGCATCTCCCAACGCCACGAAGAGACCGGTGGTATCTGGTGGGTCTGTCTGAGGCAGGTGTGGAGGCTGCAGCATCCAAACGTGGGAACATCACTCCAGCCTGGAAGGGGACAGAGGCGGACGCCATGTGGAGAGAAATTGAATCCTGATGGCATGGGGGGGGTGGAAGAATCAAGGAGGAGGTACAGCAGCTGCCACCCCATGGCTCAGATGAAGAGCCATACATGATGGGTGTCCATGACAAAAAAAAACCCACCAAAAAAAACAAACAAAAAAATGAAGCCAGGGCCATGTGGAAATTAGCCCAAGTACCCAAGGTCAGGGCGAATTAGGGCAAAGCTCTCACCAAAGTCCACCTAATGAGGAATTACTTAGTGCTAACAATGCTACAACTCTGACCACAGCAGCCTAACACACTGTACCACGTTCTAGCATCACACGGAAGTCGGTATTGCTGTGTAACTGCATTTAGCAGGTGCGGCTATGTAAGCAGTTCCTAATTCGGACAGCTAAGCTGTAACCGAATTTGTGTTTGCAGGTTGTGCCTGCTACAAGAATAAATAATTGTGTACTTAGTCAATGTGGCATGATCTACTCTAATGGAATGCCCAACTCAGTATCACAGTATCATGCAGAGCCACTAAAGCAAAGAGAAATGGTGCTTCCATGTGGATTTACTGCGTACGTCCCCAGAAGGAGCAAGACCCCTGGAGGTTTGCTGGAGATGTACCTGAGGCCTGGGAGCCCAGCTTGGACTCATGCTAGGGCCAGGGAGCCTGTCTGCCTGCGTGCTGGCCACATGTGCCGAGTAGGCGTGCCCTGGACAAGCCGACCTCGTCCTTGGGCTGTTTCTTCCCTGCTCCATGGCTCCAGCCCCTGCAGGACCCCCTCATGGTTCTTCTCATCTTGGGCACGCTCAAAGACAGGCCTGTGCTCGGGATAATTTTGGGGGGCCTCAGAGAGATAGTGCAGGGTCTTTGTCACATACAAGGAAACAAGGGCATCATCATCACCATATGTGTTAAAACTACTTCTTCCTTTCGTGTATCATGCTCCTAATCTTCCACACCACTACATGAGTACTGTTTACATCCTAATTCTACCATTTTAGAGACACGTGCCAGTCCAAGATGTGGTGCCGCCTGGCTGGCTGCTTCACTGCGCTCCTCTGTCTGGGAGAACCTTCTGGCTCTAAGATGGTAGCACGGTCAGCGGTAGCACTGCCTGATCATCCAGTAGGAAGTGCAAGTGGGTTTCTGGGTGGTCGTGTGATGATCTAGCACAGCTCAGAACTGGTCCCCTGGGACAGAAAATGGTGTTTTTCCCAGACGCCCCTGCTAGAACCCCTGAGCCACCTCAATGTGCAGCAAAGGGGTTGAACTGTAGAA